AAAGGAAAATGGAGAGAAAAGTTACCTGGTGTGTGTTGCAGCCCTACATATGTAGTGAAATTCTGGAAATCCTCCTGTGGAACATTAGCCCCAAAAGCAATCTGATGAGCCCCCTTTCGCTTGTCAGGATATGTTGCTTTCATATTTCATTGAACTCCCCTTATCCAAAACTATAGCCAGCCTGACTTTTTCTCATGTGCCCTTAGGAAAAAGGGAAGATACAAATGTTCCAGGATGCAGTGATTTTCCTGGAAACAAAGAAAGATTTGAAAGCATTCTCACTGCAGATTGCTTAAGATAAAGTCTGGTTATGGTGCTGTTATTCTTATATATCATGTAATAGTAATAAATAGAATAGTAATAATAATTTTCATGTGTTTTCATATTTTATGTTAGAAATTCTACCTTATAAAGTATTTTTATAAGGAGGTAGGGTCTTGGAAGGAAAATAACTTATTCAAGGTTACAGAGCTAGTTGGTGATACAGTTGAGATTTCAACTCTGGTTCTTTGATGCCAGTATGGCAGAGTGAACCTCAGTTGCTCTATACCTGTTGGGATGCTCTTGGCTGCTAATAAAAGAAACCCCAGATAAAATCTCAGGGAAGGGCTGTCCTGCATATGACTGATTCGGTACCTTAGCGACATCATCAATAACACAGGTTCTTTCTCTTTTTCTTTTCTACTACTCATATTGTATTAAATATCTTCTCCGGTTCCAAACTCCAGGCATCACCTGCAGTAGGCAAAGTCCAGAGGAAGAAAAGGGAATATATCTGTAATGTGTACCTCTTTGAAATCAGAAGCAACTTCCTTTTGTGTCTCATTGGCTACAATTTCACCATATGCTCTCAGTTCAACAGTCATTTGTCAAGTGATATTATATTAACTAGCTTAGCACAATTAAAATTCAGTGCCCTCAAAACAAGGATGCCTTCTCTCACCACTCCTATTCAACATATTATTGTAAGTTCTGGTCAGGACAATCAGGCAAGAAAAAGAAATAAAGGATATTCAATTAGAAAAAAAGGAAGTGAAATTGTCTCTACTTGCAGATGACATGATTGTATATTTAGAAGATCCCATCATCTCAGCCCAAAATCTCCTCAAGCTGATAAGCAGCTTCAGCAAAGTCTCAGGATTACAAAATCAATGCGCAAAAATCACAAGCATTCCTATACACCAGTAACAGACAAATCATGAATGAACTCCCATTCACAATTGCTACAAAGAGAATAAGATACTTAGGAATACAACTAACAAGGGGTGTGAGGGACCTCTTCAAGGAGAACTACAAACCACTGCTTAAGGAAATACGAGAGGACACAAACAGATGGAAAAACATTCCATGCTCATGGATAGGAAGAATCAATATTGTAAAAATGTCCATACTGCCCAAAGTAATTTATAGATTCAATGCTATCTCCATCAAGCTACCATTGACTTTCTTCACAGAATTGGAAAAAAAACACCTTAAGTTTCATATAGAACTAAAAAAGGAACCGCATAGCAAAGACAATCCTTAGCAAACAAACAAACAAACAAACAAAAAAAAGCTGGAGGCATCATGCTACCTGACTTCAAACTATACTACATGGCTGCAGTAATCAAAACAGCATGGTACTGGTAGCAAAACAGAGATATAGACCAATGGAACATAACAGAGGCCTCAGAAATAACGCCACACACCTACAATTATCTGATCTTTGACAAACCTGACAAAAACAAGCAATGGGGAAAGGATTCCTTATTTAATAAATGGTATTGGGAAAACTAGCTAGCCATATGCAGAAAGCTGAAACTGGATCCCTTCCTTACACCTTATACAAAAATTAACTCCAGATCGATTAGAGATTTAAACATAAGACCTAACACCATAAAAACCCTAGAAGAAAACCTAGGCAATTCTATTCAGGACATAGGCATAGGAAAGGACTTCATGACTAAAACAACAAAATCAAGCAACAAAAGCCAAAATTGACAAATGGCACCTAATTAAACTAAAGAGCTTCTGCACAGAAAAAGAAACTTTTAGAATGAACCAGCAACCTACAGAATAAAAAAAAAAAAAGTTTGCAATCTACCCATCTGACAAAGGGCTGGTATCCAGCATCTACAAAGATCTTAAATTTACAAGAAAAAACAAACAGCCTCATCAACAAGTGGGTGAAGGATAGAACAGACACATCTCAAAAGAAGACATTTATACAGCCAACAAACATATGAAAAAAAGCTCATCATCACTGGTCACTAGAGAAATGCAAATCAAAACCACATTGAGATACCATCTCACACCAGTTAGAATGGTGATCATTAAAAAATCAGAAGACAACAGATGCTGGAGAGGTTGTGGGGAAATAGGAATGTTTTTGCACTGTTGATGGGAGTGTAAATTAATTCAACCATTGTGGAAGACAGTGTGGTGATTCCTCAAGGATCTAGAACAAGAAATACCATTTGACCCAGGAATCTCATTACTGGGTATATACCCAGAGGATTATAAATCATTCTGTTATAAAGACACATGCACACATATGTATATTGTGTCACTGTTCACAATAGCAAAGACTTGGAACCAACCCAAATGCCCATCAACAATAGACTGGATAAAGAAAAGGTGGCACATATACACCATGGAATACTGTGCAGCCATAAAAAAACAATGAGTTCATGTCCTTTGCAGGGGCATAGATGAAGCTAGAAACCATAATTTTCAGCAAACTGACACAAAAACAGAAAACCAAACACTGCATGTTCTCACTCATAAGTTGGTGGTGAAAGAACACATAGACACAGGAATGGGAACATCACACACCAGGGCCTGTCGGGGGGTGGGAGTCTAGAGGAGGGATAGCAGGGGTGCGGGCTAGGGTAGGGATAGGTTTAGGAGGCTAGGGGAGGAATAAAAATACCTAATGTAGATGATGGGGTGATGGATGCAGCAAACCACCATGGCACATGCATACCTATGTAACAAACCTGCATGATCTGCACATGTACCCCAGAACTTAAAGTATAATAATAAAAAAAGATTCAGTTCCCTAAGGCTAAGAAGCTCCCAGCCCCTGCTGAAGAAAGCAGATTATCAGAGGAAGACAAATAAAATACGTCAGCAAAGAAGAAAGAGTAAATATTCTAGGATTAGCAACTAATAATGACTGTCACTCCCACTAATACGGGAGACCATTTACTTTCTACAACATAAACAGTTCCATGCACTGTTGAATAGAATGTGTATCCTGTGGTTGTTGAATGAAATGTGCTGTATATATCTGTTAAGTCCAATTTGTTCCAAGGTATAGCTTAAATTCATTGTTTCTTTGTTGACTTTCTGTCTTTATGAACTGTCTAGTGCCATCAGTGGAGTAATGAAGTCCCCCACTATTACTGTGTTGCTGTGTATCTCATTTCTTAGGTCTATTAGTAATTGTTTTATAAATTTGGGAGCTCCAATATTAGGTGCATATATGTTTAGAATCGTGATATTTTGCTGTTGGGCAAGGCCTTTTACCATTATATAATGTCCCTCTTTGTCTCTTTTAACCACTGTTGCTTTAAAGTTTGTTTTGTCTGATATAAGAATAGCTACCCCTCCTCACTTTTGATGTCTATTTGCATGAAATGCCCTTTTCCACCCCTATACTTCAAGTTTATGTGAGTCCTTATGTGTTAGATGAGTCTCCTGAAAGGAGCAGATAGTTGGTTGGTGAGTTCTTATCCATTCTGCAGTTCTGTTTCTTTTAAGTGCAGCATTTAGGCCATTTACATTCAATGTTGGTATTGAAATATAAGATACTGTTGTATTCATCATGCTCTTCATTGCCTGCATACTTTGGCAACAGTTTTTTGTTTTTGCTTTTCAACCTGTATTTTTATTTTATAAGTCCTGTGTGCTTTATGCTTTAAAGAGATTCTGTTTTGATGTGTTTCCAGGATTTGTTTCAAGATTTTAGAGCTCCGTTTAGTGATTCTTGTAGTGGTGGGTTGGTATTGGCAAATTCTCTCGTTTGTTTGCCTGAAAACAACTGTATCTTCCTTCCTTGCTTGGTTTTACTGGATACAAAATTCTTGGGCGATTACTGTTTTGCTTGAGGAGATTGGAGATAGAGCCCCAATCCCTTCTAGCTTGTAGGGTTTCTTCTGAGAAGTCTGCTGTTAATCAGATAGGTCTTTCTTTATAGGTTACCTGGTGCTTCTGTCTCACAGCTTTTAAGATTCTTTCCTTCATCTTAACTTTGGATAACCTGACAACAATGTGCCTAGGCAAAGATCTTTTTGTGATGAATCTCTCAGGTGTTCTTTGTGCTTCTTGTACTTGCATGTCTAGGACTCTAGCAAGGCTGGGAAATTTTCATTGATTATTTCCCCAAATATATTTTCCAAGCTTTTAGAACTATCTTCTTCCTCAGGAACACTGATTATTCTTAGGTTTGGCCATTTAACATAGTCCCAAACTTCTTGGAGGCTTTGTTCATATTTTCTTAATCTTTTTTCTTTGTCTTTGTTGGATTGAGTT